GTCACGAATTTCAGAATTACGTACACGACCGAAGACATCCCCCTCCCTCCTTTTATTTCATTCTTCTTTTTTTTTCTTTATAGTTAAAGCAAACATATAGGCAACTATACACTCCAACACATTTTAATGTACATTATAAAGGATTTCATCAGTGCCATGAGGAGGTGCCGGAAAGGGGCGGCGCCAAGCTACCCATCTGCAAGAGGCGGGCCTCACAGGACGACGTGACAGGCAGAACCCGAGGTCAAAAGAGAGAAGGTAGGTGGTCGACGGACAGGTCACGAATGCCATCTAAAAATAGTCAACCGGGAACTACATTTTGTACCCTGTTTACTGTTCCTGTAGCAAATACCGAATAAGGTCTTTGTTTGCAGTCCCTTTAGTAGTCAAAGCGTGAGAGCTGTTCCGTGGTCTCAAACGACCTCCATTGCCACCCCAAGTCGGGGCTCAGGTTCTGCCCTGTTCTTCCTTGACATTTTCTACATGAATAGACAGCATTTGTATAGCGCAAATCCCCGCTCAACAGTAGGCTCTATGCGCTTCACAATCTATACTATTACCCCAGAAGACCTCAGAGCATTCTGAAACAACCTTAACTTCCTGGGAAGCATATAGTGAAAGCGGCCATTTATAGGCGCCTAAACACTAACATACTAACAAGATCTTTCGCTGTCTATGGCCGGTTACCCATTCCCACCTGGGTGAAGTGAGGAAAATTCGTGTAAAGTGTCATTTGCAGGTCAATCCTCCGTATTCCTGTTAAAGTATGTATGCTTTCTATAGTGTGATGTTTTGCACGTTTTGTGGGAATTGTGTGATCTTTAGGAAAACAGCGAAAATACAGACCTTCCATCCACGCCACAGACATGCAAGCACTGCAACAGAATCTGCGCTTCAAACATAGAAAGAATTAGCCATGAAAGAAGCTACATGAAGACAACCTTGAGACCATCTTAAGCTAAATTGACCGTCTGCATAGACGAAAAGAGCCATACACTGATCTTTAGTATGCACTGTGTTATTGTATGATGGGTTGTATGGATTGTGTGATGTGCTGTTCTGTTTGTGAGTGTAAATATGTGCGTGTTTGTGTGTGTGTGTGTGTGTGTGTGTGTGTGA